CCAGACAAGTATCAACTCACACCTGGAGTTCTTACATGAATACATGGGTAAGATGGCCATTGTGTAGGTAATCATGTTTTTGCTTTTGCTTGATTGTACTTGAATTCGGAATTTTGTAATTATATGAAGTATTAGAAATAATCCAGACTCATTCAGGTTGGAGAAGGGCAATTGTTTTCTTAGGCTCAACCACATGGGTTCATCTGAGTACACACTGTATATCCAACAGGTTAGTTGTCTGCAGTGTTATATATCTTCCCAATTCCCGGATATGAATGCCAAAACAAACAGGCTTCAGTTCATTTTTAACAACCCCAATTAGGGGAAATGATGTTACTAAATCAGTTCTCATAACTTTCTTATTAAGGTAGCTAGAGACATGCATGTGTCAGTTTTCTACTTGCACTTTATTGTTGTTGTCTTAACACACTAGAAGTAATGTAATTAAAGCAGAAGTCCTTACACCTTTGTTAATAAAAAAGCTGTTGTCAAGTTGTACTGCATTGACCATGTATTTTGTTCTAAATCCGCAAGTGATTTCATTATACCAGACATGCTTACCACATGTTATTAGGACAGCTACAGACTCAGGACAAAGTTGTTTTTTAATTAGACATACTAGATAAAGCATTTCTACAATTATGTATCAATGGGGACCTTCTATAACCCCATTGTCACATATCCACAGTATTATATCTCCATTCTATAATGATAAATACCCTGGACCAATTTGCTGATAAATATGTGTCTAGAGGTCAATTTGAATGGGATTCAGATCAAATTAGAAATCTGACCAAATACCTCTCATGTGACATTTTGTGTCAAGTAAGAGATGCAGAAAGATTTTTTATTTACAAGATGGAGATATGATGTGCTGGATAATCGAGTTTGCTGTAACCCAATGTCCGGACATTCAGGAAATGGACTGCTTCTGTTTTTACATGTAAAGCAGACACCTTCCTAGTTGCTTTTAGTCTAAGATAACCAGCCCTCCCATAATCAGCTGTGTCTCTGTAGCCTCTACGTAATGTACATTGACTTTAGCATCACAAATATCACAACTCAGAACTTGTAATTGTGTACTCTTTTATGTTTCTCTTGATAAATAAAATATTCCATTAAAATACAAACACGTGTTGACATTGTATATTTATCAAATTCAAAACATCATTTATATATTACAAACATCAGTATGAATATGAATAAATGATTATTTCTACAAGACAGTCGGACAGGTAAGAATTAATTGAAGAAGAAATGTTGCCATCCATGGGACAACAGGCAGACAGCTACGTCAGACACAATGTTAGAAGGTAAAGGTACTGGGTATATAATTGCAAGTGTTAACTCTTGCAGTACTGTTGTAACCCTGCCGGATACATTTCCCTACAGTATCCCCATACCAATGAGGCTGTGTAATAATGAACACACCATTCCCTCAACATGAAACATTGGCAGTGTACTCAGCTTCACACGGACAGTTGGATAGATGACAATGGCAGCAAGGGTAAACGAGTGAGTGAGTCAGGTTCAACACTGCTTTGAACAATATCTTAGTTATATCAGAGATTACTGTTGAAGAATCATTCAAATAACACAGGACATTACAGTGAACACGGATATGGTGCGGACAGGCCAATGGCCACAAAGGGGTCCTATTAGACAACCTGTGTACATGACACTTCACTTTAAACAGAACATCAATATGATAATTGTTGCCATTACTTGCATGCTAAAGGAAGAGTTCATGATGGACCGTGGACCTGGTCCACACAGAGATTAGACACCATACGTCATCATTTCATAGAGATACAATATTCAATGACGATATTACATAAATCCAGTGACTAGAAAAACTTGCCTTATAATTAATGTTTTGTATTCATATTAAGTTTATTACGAGAGTAAGTGATTTGGGTTTTACACCACTTTTAGCAATATGACAAAAGTATCAAAGCAGGGGAAATGGGCTTACATAGAGTTATCTTTTGCGTACATATATAATAAATATTATTTAATAAAATTAAAGTGATCGATATTTTGGAGGACTGATTCAGCTTCAAAGTCAATAAACACCACATTCTCTGACAATCATGGTGTAGGATATTCTAGGATGAAGGAAGTTGGGAGTTCCACTTTTGACACCACAAAGGTTTAGGTTTGTGAACGTTAACAACCTCAGCTGCTGATTAGAAAGCCTTACTTTAGTCTCAAGTCGAGAAATACAGATGCCAAGCACATGGCTAGGTAAGGGAAATAAGAGTTATCTGCCCATTTGCTACTGTTGGTCTTACAACTACTAGTATTTCTTAAAGATGTCTGCTGACTACTCTATATTTTACAGGTTAATTTAGAAGTCGTGGGTTACAGAAACTACCTATGTGGCTGTACATGTGGATGGCATAGAGAAATGTTTCAAGCAGAATTACGGAAGACTGATTATGTGATTGGAAACCTATGGTATGATAAAAATAAAACTAATTAGAAAACAGCGAGTAACAATGTTCATATTATTATTGCAAAAAGATTCGGCTCTGGGCTTAATGTCTCGGTATTTCTTTGAACTTTCACACATATAAATTTATCAGCTGGTGAAGCATACAACACACATATGTTGTTCCTTAGTACATTTAACCGGTTTTTGATATCGTGATATTCATAAATCATTGTTTCTCAATGATGTTCTTGTACATTTTTAATATGGTAATAGCAATAAATATTATTATTTGTGCGATATGTGATCATGGACAAAATGTTTTGGAAAGATTTTATTGTGTTTATCAAGGAGGCAGATCGTATTTGATAAAGTCAGAAGCATTAGATCTTATAAAACATTACGGTGATGGCAGTTTGTATCCGAGGAAGTGTTGAATATTAATTACATGTTTATTATCATTATTGACGACAATTACGTGACAGTTCAGATTTTATGCTGGAAACACTGAAACACGTAATTGATTGGTGTTTAATAATTGTGGATATTTATTAATTTAGGAAAAATTGGTATGTAAGAGGATCAAGTTGCAAGTGTCAATGTGTTTATAAATATTGGCAACAGGATATACTTATATTAAGTACTGGATTAGGCTTTTGCGAATACGGGATCGGGTGGTCAGACTCGTTGACATGGTTGACGCATGTCGTCGATGCTAATTGCGTGGATCGATGCTCATGATATGAATCACTGGATTGTCTGGTCCAGACGCGATTATTTACAGACCGCCGTTATATAGCTGGAATATTGCGGAGTGCGGCGTTAAAAGACAAACCAACAAACCAACGATACCCCGTACAAAATTATTGTCTGCTTTAATTAATGAGAATGGAAACGCCAATATGGACATCCTATGTGAGACAAATGTTATGTAATACAGATTTTGCGTATATGTGGTTATTCCAAGATGTTGGTAATGAGAACATTTGTCTGCATTAAGAAGACGTTTAAGAGATACCTGTTTCCAAACATGGTACCACAGTTAGTGCAATGTGGTGAGGTGAGGTGAAATGGGGTTTAACGTCGCGTCCAAGATAATTGCACTTATATAGCGACGTGCATGCACGTGTGTGTGTGTGTGGCTGTTTGTACTAGTCCGGAATGATGCCGATTTATAGTGCTAGCCCACTGAGATACCATGCCGCAGTTTAACATGAATACCCCACTAAGACACAGCATTCTGACTCCGAGCCGACCAGTCCTTGTTTTAGCCCCTTAATGCCGAGCGCCGGACAGGGTAACAACAAGTACCATATTTTAATGTCTTTTGGTATGAGGCTCCCGGGGATCGAACCCGAGACCTTCCGCTCTCCGGTCGGACGCTCTACCACTAGACCACGGAGGCGGTAGAGTGCAGTGTGGAAATTTCGTATATATCTCCACAACTTCCGAGTGACCATTATAAACCGTAACAGGTCATTGATACACAATCTTTATGTACAGAATGTGACCTTCATGTAGTTTGGGATGAATGCCATGTCTTTTTTATATGTAAGAAATATATGCACTTGAGAAATGGATTTTTTTTACCTACTGTGATATTAATGTAATACGCTTGACAGCTTTATATTTATGTGGTGCCCGGGTGGCCACGTTTAAATAACTAAAATATGAAAGGAAACTAAAACGCATTTTGGTTTACAGTGATTGAACATTAACTGCGTTTATTATTTAAATAACTAAAATATAAAAGGAAACTAAAACGCATTTTGGTTTACAGTGATTGAACATTAACTGCGTTTATTATTTAAGCCGCAACTTTGGTTCTTGTATTCACGAGGCCAAGTCTTAAACCGTGTACTTATCTGATGCTTATGAGGACATGAATTCTTAGTTGGATGGCAAATATGAATTGGAAATAAATACAATGTATTTTCGTTCTATTTGATTATTTATTTAGTATTTGGCGGAGGCCTGATATTGACTTTTATTTGAAAGTGTTCCTCTCCTGAATTATCTTTCTGTAGACGTATTACATACTAGAGTGAGTGAGGTGGGTTAAAAGACGCTTTTAACATTACCTTAATTACACCACGTCGAGTCAGCTTAATGTTGGAGAAATAGTGACGCATGGATATGGCGTTGAAAAACCAATAATCCTAGTTATGTCCTAGCAATCAGCAAATCGCCATGCAGTATATACACCTTGTCCAATCAATCAAGTTTATTTCGTATTACAGGCCGTTGTAAGATAAATTACACTTTGGGTCACATATCACATATTATTTTAAATATTTTACATAAATAAAATTGAGTGAGTGAGTTGGGTTTAACGCCGCTTTTAACAGTATTCCAGTTATATCGCGGCGTGTCAGCTTAATGTGGGAGGAAAGCCCGAAGTGATGCAGATCTCAGACGTTTACCACTTCGCTGAAACCCACGAGCACGGGTATGGTGCTGACAAACCTAGAAACAATCGGGGCGAACGGGGATTCTAACCCACAATCATAGGTTTCTGGCGTGCCCAAGGGACGCAACTCTGCACAGCGAATCGCGGCGCCTTAGACGACTGGGCCACCCGTGCCCCCCTCAGAAACAGAAACAACGGCAATATAGTCATTGGAATTATAGGAATGGATGACTGAAAATTACTGATGAGACCAGATGTAAGCTCAGCACCATCCGGGTGTCCATGCGTTCCCGAAATTCTTTGGGTTAGCAGCAGGATCAGGTGGAGGGTGATCAGCGGGGACCATCTGCTTCCGGTAGTCATCCATCCGGGTTTTTAGTTTGTCAACAATGTCCGGCATCTTCTGTGCCAGGTCGTTATGCTCAGTTGGATCCTCTGAGACGGAGAAGTATATGCACAATAAATATGACGGAAAGTGCAGGATGGGATGCATACGTATGCTTAATTTGCTACATCAATTAAGCAAAGTTTCATGAGAACTAAATTGTATGGTTTATAATAGGTAGATACAGTACTTCACCCACCACGTATATTGTACAGATGAACTGGACTATCTCCTTCAACATATATGGTGGTCACATAAATATCCCTCTCTGTTCTGTTCATAGGCTCGGGCCAGCCATCGGGTCCACCTGGGTAGCCCATTATCAGCTTGTAGTCTCCAACCCTGTTAAAAAACAACGCCAGAGGGGTCGGCCATAAAATATTCTGGTTTGGGGGTACAAAAAGACAAAAACCTGTTCACTGAACATGCTGGATGTTCCGGAAAAATATAGTGTTGTTTGGCTCTTCCTTTCACTGACAAAAACAACTGTATATCTTAAAGCACTATCTTTAAACATATTCTGTCGAAAAAAATAGACAATAGTCGGTTCCATGCATAACTACTTCCTATCAAGTCCCACCACTGTTTAGAACTATTCGTAACCAAATAATGGTCAGTATCCAGAAATATTGGATAGTTTCTTGTGAAAGTTTTTGGCTCCCGATAGACCCAATCCTTGCCCAATTGATTGCAGAGCGAACAACTATACTCTTCAAAAAATGAAACGCAAAGCCAGATTTGTGTGAGGTAGGAACATACATTTATTCGAGGAACCGTACAAGGCAATGAGCCAAAATGTTGTGGTGACTGTAGTCATCTCAGTTATCAGTACATAGGAAACGTCCAAGGTGAAAGTCAGCTACCATCAATAAAGCGTATGTCCCCCGCTTGAATAGATAGCGGACATCTCCTGTCCATGGAAGAGACGAGTATGCAAATCACATCCTAGGGAATGGTAGCCAACTCGGCCTGCAACGCAAAAGCAAACTACTGCAAAGTCTGGGGTTGTGGTTGACGTCGGCGTAGCCGTCCATCCAACAACGTTGTTGTTGTGTAGATAGGCTCTTGTGATCCGTGATGTATGCGGTCGAGCGTTGTCCTGCTGGAATACACCGTTGCCGTTGGCTGCCATTGGGAGGACGTGTAGTGGGAGAATTTCGTTGATGTATCGCTGAGCTGTAACAAGGCCCTGGATATGGACCAAACCTGTCCTGCCATGAGGAGAGATAGCCACCCACACCATAACGAAGACCCGTGATCTTCCATCCCCTCGACGGAGGAGAAATCTTGATTCGTCGCTGAACCAGACATCCCTCCATCGCAGTCAAAGCCATACCCTGTGTGAACGACACCAATGCAGTCGTTGTTGATGTGGACTCAATATGACGCATCGAACAGGACGTCTTACTCGTAGACCTGCTGCTCTTAAACGGTTTCGTACGGTCTGGTCGGATATAATGTCCGGGTATTTGGGATGCGGTTGAGGTGGCTGTGGTCGTGCTTCACGTAGGTGGCGTAGTTTGATGTAGTGATCTTGGGCGGGGTGGTTACTTTTGGTCGTCCAGACCTTGGCCGATCACGTGTTGACCCATGCTTATGAAACCGATCCATAGTCTTGTGGTGGTGCTGAGCGCTACATTGAAAACCCTGGCTATAGCTGATCGGGATCCCCCTGCCTGCATGGCGTTGTTCTTTGCACTTCAGTCAATCTTGGCATGTTGTTCAACTGTCACTGTTAGATTGACGCAGATGCCAGGCAATCATAAACCCCTGCACTTTAGTACCGTTCATACTGTTGCACGTACAGTACGTGCAGCTCCACGGTCCTTTTGTTTATGCCCTGGGTGCGTTTTTACGAATCGTACGTGTTTTACGACTAATGGTTTGGATGTCCTTGTTGTGATCATTTTGATCCGGGAAATTTGTCACTGACACTATAACACATTAAACCTTTTAATTTTGCACCTCTTGGTCCCCTAAGTTTGCTTCTATGGCCAAAAATATTCGTATTGCGTTTCTTTTTTTTTAAGAGTATATGTATATTCAAAATATGGCCGGTCGTGAAAATATTATTTCTGTAACCTAACATCAAAATCAGTTACCTGATTCCAGCATGTCCCTCAATTGCTGGTTCAGTATTGTCGAGATTGTAGATAAACTCGGTCCTTGACGAAGGAAGCCCTTTCCTGATGGATTCCCAGTGACTCATACCGTCAATTGACATTTCTGGAAAACATAATGTTATAATGTGTTGTCTCACTATTCGACATTGATTCTGAAACCGTATCATGGCATGTAATATTGTTATAAAAATCTTTTCGTTGTTTAATGACGTCCTGACCTAGATAAGACGTCATATTACAATTGGTAAGACGGCTTTGAATATATAAATTTTTCTCGTTACATGTTTAACCAACACAAAGAGAATTATTTGGTATTAAAACTTATTTGGTGTCAATGAAATTTTAGATTTGTATCGGTGGGTAAGTCTCTCCGGCAAACAGGCAATCTTTATTACCAGGAGATCCTCCAGCTGCTGACACCAATGTTGGCTTCCAGTCTACAGCATGCATCATTCTGTAATAACACAGGTGCTCTTTTAAATATGTTTAGACATAGATATCTTTGAGTGTCAACTGTTAAAACTAGTAGGGAATCATTAAAATCAACATAATCACTCCGTTAGACTTCTTACAAAACAGATTCGCTGTGCAGAATTGCGTCCCTTGGGCACACCAGAAACCTATGATTTTGGGTTCGAATCCCGGTTCGCCCGAATTATGTTTCGAGGTTTGTCAGCACCATACCCGTGCTCGTGGGTTTCACCGAAGTGGTAAACGTCTCAGACCTGCATCACTTCGGGCTTTCCTCCCACATTAAGCTGACACGCCGCGACATGACTGGAATAATGTAAAAAGCGGCGTTAAACCCAACTCACTCACTCACTCTTAAAAACAAATGACAAATTTCCAACATTTGAACTCATGATGATGAGATAAAACATGTACAAACCCATTGTAAGTTGTCTTTGTTTTTTTCAAGCCGGTGCCATACATGAACGATGTCCCCCTCGTGCCCCCCTCCCAGATTGTGTGCTTGCCACCTCTCAGAGGCCAGTTGTTGGCATAACTTGTTATAGGGCCGCCGTTCTGGGGTGACACATAATTGGGGTATAACACCATGCAACAGTGTTCCTAAATCAGATTCCTCTGTCCAATCGATAACATATAAGACCCCTGTTAGGCTACAAAAATGTTTGTCGGGTATCGGCGCATCACTTGCATCACAAATCCTGCGTCAGTCATTTTATTACCGAATTCCACGAGACTGGGTAATTCATGCTTGACCAATGAGTCCGAGTCCAATGTGTGCCCAGTTGTGTTTACTGGTAATTTTGGAGGGGAAATAATAAGATATGTTACTCCCTTGTCAGTTTTGTTCCCATCCAACTCTTCGCTACTGAGAAAAATGTGCCTGAGATATTCAAATTGGCTTCATTATTATCAATGACGGACCAACCTACGTCGTCGTAAAACTCTGTTTATGTCCTTATCTTAAGATTTATGATGGTTTTCTCTTCCATTTATTTTGTCTTTATTTATAATGTTGAATCACAAAGGTTAGTTGGTTTGTTGTTTAACGCCGCATTCAGCAATATTCCGGCTATATGACGGCGGTCTGTAAATAATCGAGTCTGGACCAGACAATCCAGTGATCGATATCATGAGCATCGATCCACCCAATTAGGATCGATGACATGCATCAACCAAGTCAGCGAGCCTGACCACCCGATCCCGTTAGTCGCCTTTTACGACAAGCATAGTCACCTTTTACGGTAAGCATGGGTTGCTGAAGACCTGTTCTACCCCGGAATCCTCACGGGTCGAATCACAAAGAAAGGTGGCATTCCTTACGTCAGCCGTAAACAGAATGAGTGTGTTTTCAAACAGGCCCTTCTCTTTAAGTGCCATTGTCACGTTCCCAACCGCATCGTCGAGGGCCGTCACCATTCCTAGAGGGAGGTCATACCATTACAAACGATGATGTCATCTTCAGGTACTAAATAACATTTGTTAACAGATTATTATTGTAATGTTTTTAATGAACGCCATGCTGGTTTAATTGGCTTCCTCAATATGTGTTCTCTGTCCATCATGTTGTTACAATATTATCCCGCTGTTGTTATTAGTGAGTGAGTGAGTGAATTGGGTTTAACGCCGCTTTTAACTGTATTCCAGTTATATCACGGCGTGTCAGTTTAATGTGGGAGGAAAGCCCGAAGTGATGCAGGTCTCAGACGTTTACCACTTCGGTGAAACCCACGAGCACGGGTATGGTGCTGACAAACCTAGAAACATAATCGGGCGAACGGGGATTCGAACCCACAATCATAGGTTTCTGGCGTCCTCAAGGGACGCAACTCTGCACAGCGAATCGCGGCGCCTTAGACGACTGGGCCACCGTGCCCCCTGTTATTAGTTCACATCATATGTGATAACTGTTGTTACTGTTGATCCTTCACCTACCACATATTATTCTGTACCAAGTTTATTATTCAGTAAGGGCGGTCTGGTAGCCTACAGTGGCCAATGCGTTCGCTCGTCACGCCGAAGACTCGGGTTCGATTCCCGCCATGGGTACAATGTGTGAAGCCCATGTCTGGTGTCCCCTGTCGTGATATTGCTGGAATATTACCATGGCGTGAAACCATACTCACTCACTCACTCATAATTCAGCATTGCTTGACATAAGGATGAATATCGAAACGTCGTTATAACAGTCTAATAAAGACATTTATATCAATTTTGTCCACTTTAAATGGAAATGTAGAGCATAGAGCTCGCTGCAACTGTTGCCTACGTCATGATATCATGCTGGATGATGAATGTGGAACTACAATTTAAAGAATACAAAAATACCTGAGTATGTCCTGCGACCTTGGTTCATCACATTAGGATACATGTTGAAGTACTCTACGGGAACCTAAATAGAACGAGAACGTTGTCACGAGGCTAAGTGCTTAATGATCCAGATAACTGTCATATTCAGTGATGGAGATAGCAATCATTTCTTTCATCATGAAATGAACCATTGAATGAAATTGTCAAATATATTACAAATATATTGCACATATTATGTACGCCAAGTCTGCAACTAAACACAAACAGTATATTAGATTCAAAATATTCATATACCCATGTGATAATGCTCAAAATAACTGTCATAGACAATGATAATGGTAACATCTAGATTTTGAAGTTGTATTTGCTTTTTATCCTTCAGACACATATCAAGAAAACAATTAATGACTGTTTGTCAAATATTGCTTACATACATGAAAATATGTTCGTTTCTTTCTATAACAAGGTGAGGTGAAATGGGGTTTAACGTCGAGTCCAAGATTATTGCACTTATATAGCGACGTGCATGTACGTGTGTGTGATTGTGTGGCTGCTTGTACTAGTCCGGACTGATGCCGATTTATAGTGCTAGCTCACTGAGATACCATGCCGCAGATTAACATGAATATCCCACTCAGACACAGTATACTGACTCCGAGCCGACCAGTCCTTGTTTTAGCCCTTTTAATGCCGAGCACCAGACAGGGTAACAACAAGTACTATATTTTAACGTTATTTTGGTATGACGTGGCTGGGGATCGAACCCCGGACCTTCCGCTCTCCGGTCGGACGCTCTACCACTAGACGGCGGAGGCGGTCTCTTTCTATAACAAACACACACAGTTCCTTAGATTCAAAGATGACCCTACCTCCATTGGATCGTGTACGCTCTGGTAGGGCAGGTACATAAACAAAGGCTGGGAGACATTGTGTTGATGGATGATGTCAACAGCTTTCTGGGCGAATGTATACTGAAACACAGGCATGCAATGACGGACATCTGTTTCTTGTAATCGCAGATTACACTATCAGTCACTCGATGTATCAAGTGGTTGTTATTATGAACCACGGTCACGCCGCCGGGATACGATCAAACCATGTCACTATCCGATCCACTAAGTCGCATCTTACGACCAGACCCCGTGAAGATAGACCCGTGAAGATTCCGGGGTAGAATAGAATCTTACGACGAACCTAGTTCTCCAAAAATACGTTCTGTTTGTAAGGGAGGATCAGCTAAGTCTGGGTTTGTCAGCACCATACCCGTGCTCGTGGGTTTCACCGAAGTGGTAAACGTTTGAAACCTTCATCACTTCGAGCTTTCCTCCCACATTAAGCTGACACGCCGCGATATAACTGGAATAATGTTAAAAGCGGCGTTAAACCCAACTCACTCACTCACTCACATTGCTGTAATGGCAGTTCATGCACGGAGTTGGGTTGATTTGACCTTCCGTGAGATATAGACGACCTGATTTCATTAGCTTATGTCAAATTGGCAACCGTCACTCCTGCGCGGTATGGTCGTCACATGTATTCACGGGTGATGGATCCGGGAGATATTAATGTTCCTTCTGTAGAAATAATTGAAATAAATAAATATTGGAGTTATAGACAAAAATTGTGTTGGTGTTTGTAGATTGATAATTGTTCTCGAGTCGGTGGTGTAAAGAGTTACCCCCCTTGCGCGATTCTTTGTTTGGTGTCATTCGTCACCACTCGCCCCTTTCCGTAGCCGGAATAACACGAGTTGGTCACGAATGTGTTTGGCGTTTCAGTTTGTCTATGTTCTTTCCAGTTATGGATAAGCCAGGTTTTTGTATGCTATTTAGTATTTTCTGTCGCTGAAGTGCATTGTACAGGGCTAGGCATTTCTTAACATTAAACGGTTATTTTTTGTAATGGGATTGTTTGCGACAAATTAAAAATATGTTACAGCTGAATATTCTCCTTTGTAGTCCCAAGCAGGAAGTTTGTTGTCTCTGTAGTCTAAATATCCCCCTGTAAACAAACAAGTGAACAAAACAAATCATAGATCTGAAAATATTTTTTTCAAATGTTTAATCAGCACATCGAGCCCTATGATAAACAAATATGTTTATTTCATCATCAACCCAATAGTTAACGTTTTGTATGTTTCCTATGTTACGCCCACTTAGCAATATTCAAGCTTTATGACGATGTCCTGTAAATAATATTCGAGTCGCGAACAGCCAATTCAGTGATTGATGATATGAGCAGGAATCCACGCCGTCGGGGTTGGCTGGTTCGGTATCATCCAAGTCATCGAGCCAAAACTTGATCAATTATGTCGCTCTTACGACAAGCAGAGGTTTCGGGTTTTGTGTGTTTTTTTTGTTTTTTGTTTTGTTGTTGTTGGGTTGTTGTTGTTTTTTGGGGGGGGGTTGTAGTGCACGTAGTTATAAACTTGCCTAAGCTGTGGTTGTAGTAGTCTTCCTGTGCGTTGTAGTAGCCAAAGAACGTGTCAAACCCTCTGTACGTTGGTGTGCACTCCCACTTGCAAAAACCAAGATGCCATCTGGAACAGGACACACAGTGCTTAAAAGTTCAGAACGTGTTGCCCTGTGTGGTGAAGCGCGTAACATCCGTGATCAGTGTTGGTTTATTTATTGACTTATCTTTGTTTGTTTGTTTGTTTATTTGTTGTTTAACGCCGCCCTCGGCAATATTTCAGACGGCGGTCTGTAAATCATGGCGTCTGGACCAGAGTGAGTGAGTGAGTATGGTTTTACGCCGCTTTTAGCAATATGCCAGCAATATCACGGCGGTGGACACCAGAAATGGGCTTCACACATTGTACCTATGTCGGGAATCGAGCCCGGGTCTTCGGCGTGAAGAGCGGACGCTTTAACGCCTAGTCTACCCGACCACCCCAGTCTGGACCAGACAATCCAGAGATTTTCATGAGCATCGATCTACGCAATTGGGATACAAAGTACATGCATCGACCAAGTCAGCGAGTCCCCCATTACGACAAGCACAGTCGCCTTTTACAGCAAGCATGGGTTGCTGAAGACCTATTCTACCCCGGATCTTCACGGGTCGTCCTGAACACTGAGCAGGCTGTGTCGTGTTCAAGGTGCTGAGGCTTCTCTGGACGTACTTGCCAACCATGTGGGTAGCATAGCCGAGTTTCTTCAGTTCCTGTGGCAGGAAGTTGTAGTTGAGAGGCACACATGCAGAGCTGTTGGCGGCAATATTTAGGTGCTAGAAATTGAAATTCATATGTTGTTTTAGTACTATTGGAAATATCCGTAAATGGAGGCACAGATGGCCCAGTCGCCTAAGGCACCGGTATTCACTGCACAGAGCTATTGCTGACAAATATAGAAACATAATTTGTTTGAATATTGAATTCGAACCCATGATTATAGGTTTCTGGTACACAGTGGTCAACATCCGAGACTTGCATCACTTCGGGATTTCCTTCCACATCATTATGATACACTCATGTATAGTGAGTGAGTTGGGTTTAACGCCGCTTTTAACAATATATCAGTTATATCGCGGCGTGTCAGCTTAATGTGGGAGGAAAGCCCGAAGTGATGCAGGTCTCAGACGTTTACCACTTCGCTGAAACCCACGAGCACGGGTATGGTGCTGACAAACCTAGAAACATAATCGGGACGAACCGAGATTCGAACCCACAATCATAGGTTTCTGGCGTGCCCAAGGGACGTTACTCTGCACAGCGAATCGCGGCGCCTTAGACGACTGGGCCACCCGTGCCCCCACTCATGTATACTGGTATAAAGAAATATCAATCATCCCGTGAGAATGAATGAGAAACTGCTTATATCCGCAAAGGGGACACAAGCCAATTATTCAGTGCATGTGACAGTATCTTCAAACGGCGGACCATACAATATATCCTATATTGACGAAAGAGTTGACACGGTTATATTCAGGGCTAGAAACATCTTTTTGGCCAAGAGGTTGATAACATATTTACTGCATGATAACATTAATTGCTTCAACTTTGTTTACACTATTGGCATCTACAACATGATACCTAGGAAGAAGGTCGTTACGTAGGACATCGCAAAACGGGCTTTCCATTCAAAAGCAATATTCGGAAAAATACAAAATGTACACAATCTTTCATTGCGGACTATACCCATCTTTCTCGCTTCTTCAATTAAATGTTCACATAAGACCAACAGAATTTACACAATGCAATAGGATAGGCTTAAAACGAAATAGTTTACCCTTAACATCGGAGGTCAATTATTTAAACAAAAGACCACTCCTAGACACCGAATCGTCCCTTGAGAATGAAAGAACTGCATGACCTGATTCACACCACTAACACACCAATTTGTTCACGAGTCCGATTTTTAACATGACCGGTATATTGAAAAACAACTGTACTTGGCTACGACTTTTACATTTGTGTAAAATATAATGACATTTGTCTTGTTTGCTTGTTGTTTAACGCAACACTCAGCAATATTCTATCTATATGACGGCGGTCTGTAAATAATGGAATCTGGACCAGACAATCCAGTGACTGACATCATGAGCATGGATCCATGCAATTTGATACGATGACATGCATCAACCAAGTCAGCGAGTCTGACCACCCGATCTCGTTAGTCTTACGGCAAGCATGGGTTGCTGAAGACATTTGGTACCTGTCTCAGATATGACTCTGTGTCATTAGAACTCCGTGAAGATATCGGGTTAGAATTTGTTCCCCAACAACTGGGGTCTGCCTCGGTTACTTGGTTGATTGCGTGTGACCGTTCCTCACAGTATAGCTATTCGTATGGTCCAGACGCGACTATACACAGACCGAAGTCATAGAGCTCGAATATTGCCGAGAGGGGCGTTATAATTAAATAACTAACAACTTCTTAGGACACACGACTGCACACATGAATTAAAAGGATTTTTATTGGTTTTATATCATGTACCAACATCTAAATGGTTTATCATAAAGGCAGCTACTTACTTGCATGCCGACTTTAAAAGGAAACATTCCACTCATGAACGCAGTGCGAGACCTACAACACAATAGATGAAAGAAGACGGATGTATCACTTGATAAATATCAAATATGGATATCATCTGTCAAGCTTTGGGGAACATGATCTAGCCACAGTCAGATTGTATTTCTTCTTTGAAACCTATGTTAAACCAGTGAAGGACGCTTATCCAAGTATAGTCGATCTTTTTTGCCATCTGTTACACAAGCTTGGAATGCACTTGATATTAATATTAGAAATGTACATTCCTTATCTCGGTTGAAGCAATTAATTTCTAGAGAAACTAAACTTACTTCAAATTTTACATCTTTTGCTAGTTATGGCCAGCGTCAATGTCAGGTGATTTTATCTAGACTTAGGCTAGGTTGTAGTGATTTAAAATCACATTTATTTAACAGATTTCTGATTGATAATCCCATCTGTCCATGTGGCCTAAATAGAGAAGATGCTTTCCACTTTTTTTCTATCTTGTCCACGCTATGCCAAGTTTAGAATTGATAAATACTTTTTTGTTAACCAGCTCAGCATACATACTATACTTCACGGCAATGAAGATTCATCTCCCTCAGACAATGAACACGTTATAAAATCAGTTCACAATTACATCATTGAAACAAACCGCTTTACGTAAGTTATGTGTCAACTTGAGAATATACAATGCATTTGGTATCTTGCTTTCCATTTCATTTCATTTTGTGTTACTCATTAATGTCTGCTCTATAGACTTCATTACAATCTGCATGTATAATGTACAATATTAGGAGAAGCATTAATATAGGCCTTTTTGGCCTGTTTGCTAATCCTTTTTCCATTTTGTAATGCTATGTAATGTAAAATCTGAACATTAATGGAAATAAAATACTGTTTAAATCACCTATGTTAAACCTATGCAGATCATTAACTAATTATGAAAATGGGACACTGATCGAAATATTTGAAATTCGAATAACAACTAGTGACATTATGGTGATATGTACAGAGAAGCAGAAAGGATTGGACTGTTTACAGTGGTGGGTAATGTTGGTAAACAAATTGTATTTACGGGCTACAGAAAGGCTGGACATAGGCGCTCTCGAAGATGATCCCCTCTGAAGCCAGTTCGTCGATGTTTGGAGTCTTCATGTTCGGGTTGCGGAAACCAACATCGTTCCATCCTTTGTGCAATTAAAGTTGCGATTCATTTAAATACATGTATGTATTGACACTGAGATATGACATTGTAAAACCGCATCGTTTATACCTGATGTGAGTGTCTCGCGAACACCAGGTGTCATTGATTTTCGTGATCCCTACACATAATTTAAACTGCTGCTTTGCCCCTATTATTAAGTTTAAACCCTTATCGTTTGTATACTATGTTGAGTGAATGTGTTTTACGCTACTCTTTTCAATATGCCATCAACATCCCGACGGAGGAATCCAGAAATGGACTTCCCACAATGTACCCATGTGGGGAATCGAATCCCTGCTTTCAGGGTGACAAGCTTACGCCCTCCTGGTAAATCCCCTATTGTTCTTTTTGACACACTAAAGAAGAACTTTCCCTACACTGTGACTAAACTGTATCAGTATATCTGCAAAACCTCATTCAGGCATAAACCTGGAATGGCGCCATTGAAGCCATTGTACTTACGCTAGACACTCTCCAATCTGTACGAACCTCCACTTAGGTTAGTTCGTAGCAAAAGTTACCCGTGAAGATTCCGGGGTAGAATAGGTCTTCAGCAACCCATACTTGCCGTAAAAGGCGACTATGCTTGTCGTAAAAGACGACTATCGGGATCGGGTTGTCAGGCTCGCTGACTTGGTTGATACATGTCATCGATCCCAAATGCGTGGATCGATGCTCATGATGTCAATCACTTGATTGTCTGGTCCAGACTCGATTATTTACAGACCGCCGTCATATAGCTGCAATATTGCTGAGTGCGGCGTTGAACAACAAACAAACAAACAAACCTTTTTTTCGTATTCGTAGTTATAAGTAAACATTAAGGCAGAGCAATACAGGATATCCAAGACTATGCAATCCATTGGGCGCCAAAACAATACAAAGTAGTCAACATACTGAAAAAAATATTCCACTCTTTAATTTATTTATTGTTCAGATTATATGTTCAATGACATCCACCTCTTAATAATAAGCATATCAATAAGAGTGAGTGAGTTTGATTTTACGCCGCTTTTAGCAATATTCCAGCAATATCACGGCGGGGGACACCAGAAATGGGCTTCACACATTGTACCCATGTTGGGAATCGAACCCGGGTCTTCGGCGTGACGAGCGAACGCTTTAATCTCTAGGCTACCCGACCGCCCATATCACTACGACAAGACATCCACACGCCCTTTACAAACAAAATAGACACAGGAATATCAGAAACCATGTGTTTCTGGATAAAATTATCTTAAACAAAATCGTTAAACTTATGTTGTATGTTGTATTGAGTCAATGTATGGCTGAGATATCGCCGATGCAAATTAAAAAGTTGACTTACTAACTCACTCACTAACCCTAAATAGGAAATATGACATGGATTGATGCGTTAAACTAGCTCACTCATTCACTCACTCACCTAAATCATCTGCAACTATGAAGACAATGTTAGGACGTTGTGTTGCGGCACAGGACACAAAAACCAAGAGGAACACAAGGATGTTCGCCTCCTCCATCACTTTCCACTTCGAAACAGATCTCACATCAAATAACGTGATAAAACTTTTTATATTCTGATCATGTTTATCTTGTGGCCTTCACCCACATATCGAATATGCGAGATAAGTCTAAGGCATGTGATGTTCACGTTGCAACTAGACTATAGGCTGGGACTGCATGTGTGAGTCTGGTAACATGCGATGTCTGGGGTGTAAGTAAAGCCTTCCCATATTCACAAGTGAGTGAGTGGGTTTGGTTTTACGACGCCTTTAGCAATATTCCAGCTATATCAAGGCGGGGGACACCGGGAAAAGGGCTTCACACATTGTACCCATCTTGGGAAACGAAGCCGGGTCTTCACCATGACGAGCTGACGCTTTAACCACTAGGCTACCCGACCGCACCGATTATAGTAACAGGCAAGCATTATGGCACAAGCTGTATTCTCTGGGAATTTCTTAATTTCTGGATTTTCTTCGCATTATTTATACAGATGTTATGTCCCGTGTAAGACATCCTGATAACGGTTACTTCTCGTCATTTGTGGGAGTAAGACAAGGCGAAAGCCTGTCGCCGATATTGTTTTCACTTTTTATTAATGAAGCTTAACATTGTGGATTACGGACGGGATATTGCACGATGACCATTGAGGTAACGCAACACGATATGTGTCAGCCTGGCAGTAAATACCAAGCAGGATGAATGACTAGTACTTCCAAGATGCTACCTGGCCGTTGATGTACCATTCCAATTATGTAGTTGTACATAACATAACGTATTAAAAGTATTGTGGACCCATAGATAGATTTGTGTATTTGAAGAACAAATCAGACATCAAAAGATCACATTGCAGCTGTGAAAGTGATGACTGTAAGCGTTCAATATGCTTAAAAAATAGTCAGTCATGAATACACCCAGGGTTGTTGAACATCCGAGGACGAACTCACCCTGGGGCTGCCACAAGAGGTGAGGTGAAATTGGGTTTAACGTTGCGCCCAAGATTATTGCACTTATATAGCGACGTGCATGCACGTGTATGTATGTGTGTGGCTGCTTGTACTTGTCCGGACTGATGCCGATTTATAGTGCTAGCACACTGAGATACCATGCCGCAGTTTAACATGAATACCCCACTCAGACACAGTATACTGACTCCGAGCCGACCAGTCCTTGTTTTAGCCCTGTTAATGCCGAACGCCAGACAGTGTAACAACAAGTACCATCTTTTAACGTCTTTTGGTATGACGCGGCCGGGGATCACACCCCGGACCTTCCGCTCTCCGGGCAGACGCTCTACCACTAGACGACGGAGGCGGTCTACCACAAGAGGATGAAAACAAGTGGTGCAAATAGAAACGAGAAAAGCCATGTCCATAATCATCAAAACATCTCTACTAAAAGTATAGTTAATATATTTTATGTTTTGTACGTTTACAAAGATATTTTCTAAGTATGTCACGGGTGTCATTAACAACCATTTGTTTCATGTCCATTATGGTGTCACAGCCTCAATATGGTTTCTAACATGTTGGGTCATATACTAAAAACGCAACCAACGGTTTGTATCTCAAGACGCAACAGCAGGCAGGAGAATTGTTGCTTGAGATAGACGTGCAAGGGCATGTATAAAAGGCAAGGTTGTCCCAAGAGACTGGATAGGTTGTATAAACCACTGTCGAGAGCTGCCAAGTTGTCATGGGGTAATTTTGAGTTTCTGTTTCCATAAGATTTTACAAAAACTTGTTATAATGTTTTGTGCACGATTAGTAAATATCATTAAACGTTTCAGTAAAGTTGGGGGACATTTTTCGTTCGACCCATCTCCATACAGTATTTCTTCATGTGGCACACGACCCGTGACGATTCCGGGGTAGATTAGGTCTTAAGCAACCAATGCTTGCCGTAAAAGGTGACTATGCTTGTCGTAAAAGGCGACTAACGGGATTGGGTGGTCAGGGTCGCTTTTTTGGTTGATGCATGTCACTGATCCCAATTGCGTGGATCGATGCTCATGATATTAATCACTGGATTGTCTGGTCCAGACTAGATTATTTACAGACCGCCGTCATATAGCTGGAATATTGCTGAGTGCGGCGTTGAACAACAAACCAACCAATCATGTGGCACACAGAATTGCAAATCTTCAGCTCTTTTGATAACTGATCCTGCATTCAAATCTAATCTAACAGCACAAAACCGTTTTGAATACCTATCGTGTCAAACTCAAAACACCATATTTGACACTGAATTTACCCTTTGTGGATTGATATAACGTTGGAGAGACACAACAGAAATTATCGACGCTGTTTCCAACATTTCAGTTCCGAAAATCACTCCATCCTTTGCATGAAAGTTAAGATATAAGAGAAAATATAATTATCCATTCAATAGCCTTAAATGCAGTTGATAAATGTCCAGAGAGAATCATTGGGTTCGACTGTCGTGTACAGCAATGCCATTCGGTGTAATGACTAAAATGAAAGCCGTATGCAGTCTTACCAACCAACGAACTGCCAACGTCAGTGTATTGAGTCTGTTCCCGGCATCCCAAAGACATCGCAGCAGCCATGGTCACCAGAAAGGACGAAGGCCAAATGATAGCATTCATTTGGAAGATGTGGTGTCTCCTTAAGGCACCAGTGGGACTGCACAAGACTATACTATGTGAATGAATGAACGAATGCCTTTCTTTATTTGTTCCAGAGAACCGAAGAGTTGAGATTACATAATTACATTTTTATAATATATTTATGAACAAGTTATCTATGTACAAACATCAAGCTCTGATCATGTCATATTCACAGTATTAGGCAAACCTAAATCATACCGTTTAGCTGCTGTTCATCGCAGCATTCCACGAACACTATTTTGAGACATCTTGTTACGATAATATAAAGAAATATCAATACAGAAAATAGTTTTACTTAATGATGAATAACTATTGTTACAGAGATGTGCCAAAAGCTCTAATTTACACTTATCTATAAGCTTTTTATACTTAAGGGACCCACGTTAGCTCTTGTTGAATAGGTAGGAGAACGTTTGGTAAAATCTTGCAAAGTATCGTTGAGTGCCTTCTACAAGTTCAATATCTTTACCATATAACACAGGCGATGACTCACAATCATAAACAACTTGTGGATGATGCCATTCTTGACCAAGTGTTTACACTTGACAGTTGGTGTAGGTCATTTTGTTAAGACGGACAGATATTAAAGAAATTCAGTTCGTCTGGAATTGGCACACCATCCTTCAAAACAAGGCTTCAAAGAAACATCACAAAGTCTGTGTAGGTCAACACCGGTATACTTTATCACACACTGATATTACATAGATATATTGCTTGTACACATAGTGATACGATGTCCATTTCTGTATGAGTGAGTGAGTATGGTTTCACGCCGCTTTTAGCAATATTCCAGCAATATCACGGCGGGGGAAACCAGAAATGGGCTTCACACATTTTACCCATGTCGGGAATCGAACCCGGGTCTTCGGCGTGACGAGCGAACGCTTTAACTATTTTAGGCAACCCGACCGTCCCACTAACAGTACCAACAGTACCTTATGCAGCTTTAAGATGGTAAATGTAGGGATTTAACTAATAAAAGTGGTGTTATCAGTTAAAAGTACACAGGGTATTTTGATATTATAAATACATATACCAGTGTATATTTGACATAGGTCAGTAATAAGAACATAAACGTGAACTAAGAACAGCCAAACTGAGATAACGCTTCCCTGACTAACACCTGGTATTACCGCAATCACATCAGATCTGTGAACAATATGGATGTAGAACAATGATATAACCATGCCCACATTTTACCTTTAATGCCTAGGTTATACAATTTTACAAAAAGACCAGAGTGCCATATGCGGCGAATGTCTTCTCATTGTCAAATTATAGCATAAACTTCAGAACCTATATTGACATAAGTTTGAACACAATCTATTATTGTATACAAGGACATTATAGCACCGTGCTCTTTCCTAAAACCACACTGAAGATTGTCAGAAACTGCACTGATGTTGCTGGATGTAAATTTGTCAAGTCAGAATGACCTTTTCAAACAAAGATGTAAAAGTAATGCCTCTTTTTGTTGTTGGGATTTGATGTTTCTGTCTTTCCTTCACAAACTGAAATGATAGCGCCCTGTCTTTAAACGTCATGAAAATTACTGGCACTTAATCATTGTATTAAAAAGATAAGGCAACACTTCAGCCCCTTTCAAAATATGTTCAAAATGAATCCTGTCTGGATCAGGTGATTTCTTCCTTGCAAGTTTTACGTATAAAACAGTCAACTTCAGAAACATAAATATCAGAGGCGAGTAACGGGATCGGGTGGTCAGGTTCTCTGACTTGGTTGATGCATGTCATTATATCCCGATAGCGTGGATCGATGCTCATGATGTCAACCACTGATTATCTGGTCTAGACTCGATTATTGACAGGCCGCCGCCACAAAGCTAACATTTTGCTTAGTACTGCATTAAACAACAAATAAACAAACATATCATGTACCACTGGGGTCATTAGCAAATCAGTTATTGTAATCAAAATTTATATCCAAGTTTTCTGTTCTGAATTGATTTATTGAGTTATTTACATAAGCTCCACATGTTTTTTTCCTCACTTCTAGATTTTCTTTAAATGTACGTTTTGATTGTCTATGACGTCGTCGGAATTCTCTCCTTCCTTGAACTACATGTAGGATTCCGCATTCTTTTCTCTGGGTTTGACTTCACACCGCCAGCTCGGCTTTGCTGCTCGCATGTTATCATGGGCGTCATTTAAATCGCCCTCCTTCCAATATGGCTTCAGATTTACATTAAAACTACACTCAAGAACACACTGTGTGTGGCATCTAACATTCATTCCACTCTCATGGTACTGGTGTCCAAATACCGTCCTGTGTAGTACTCACATAGTCACTCTCTGTACAAGATAACAATTCATTAAGAGAGTTTTGTAAGATGCTATCTCACCATTTGTTGCCGTATTCCATTTAATAAAACAGTTAACCCCTGCCGTATGTTAAGTACACGGGTCTATACGAAGTGATGTCACATATGGAATGTTATCAGAAGTTTAGTAGTACCAAAGACACATTATAATTCTTCCATACCCTGTAAATGAGATGGTGTGATAATATAATCTATTAGCGATTAACTGATTTTGTCTTAACTTGTAAATGTACACTCTTCCATTGTATTCAATAAACATAGTGTGCTGACTAATCTAGATAAATGTTTATCTTGTGATGACTTAACAACCTTGAACATGTCAGCGTTGAGGTCTTAAAGGAGAACAGTATCACCTTGAGCACAGAGTTAGTCATACATATCACATAACTTTAACATGAACCAGACTTGCACCCATACAAAATGTATCAAGTGTGGACGTTAAATTGAACCAGACTTGCAGAAGTCAGAATGACCTTTTAAAACAAAGATGTAAAAGTAATGCCGCTTTTTGTTGGTTGGATTTGATGTTTCTGTCTTTCCTTCACAAACAGAAATGATAGCTCCCTGTCTTTAAACGTCATGAAATGTACTGGCACTTAATCATTGCATTAAAAAGATAAGCAACAGTTCACCGTTCAAAATATGCTCAAAATGAATCCTGTCTGGATTAGGTGATTTCTTCCTTGCAAGTTTTACGTATAAAACAGTCAACTTTAGAAACATAAATATCAGAGGCGAGTAACGGGATCGGGTGGTCAGGTTCGCTGACTTGGTTGATGCATGTCATTATATTCCAATAGCGTGGTTCGATGCTCATGATGTCAACCACTGATTATCTGGTCTAGACTCGATTATTTAAAGACCGCCGTCACAAAGCTAACATTTTGCTTAGAGCGGCGTTAAACAACAAACAAACAAACAAACATATCATGTACCACTGGGGTCATTAGCAAATCAGTTATTGTAATCAAAATTTATATCCAAGTTTTCTGTTCTGAATTGATTTATTGAGTTATTTACATGTGCTCCACATGTTTTTTTCCTCACTTCTAGATTTTCTTTAAATGTCACACATGCAATGTGATCAGAAGTTTAGTAGTACCAAAGACACATTATAATTCTTCCATACCCTGTAAATGAGATGGTGTGATAATATAATCTATTAGCGATTTACTGATTTTGTCTTAACTTCTAAATGTATGCTCTTCCAATGTATTCAATACACATCGTGTGCTTACTAATCTAGATAAATGTTTATCTTGTGATGACGTAACAACCTTTAACATGTCAGCGTTGAGGTCTTAAAGGAGAACAGTATCACCTTGAGCACAGAGTTAGTCATACATATCTCATAATTTGCCAAGTGCATTGTTGTACTCGATATCAAGCTGTCAGCTGAGGGAAGACGACATCACATAATAGACATATCACATGCACGCGGATGATGTAATCTCACATCTTAATTGGGACGTTAACATGAACCAGACTTGCACTCATACAATATGTATCAAGAGTGGACGTTAACATGAAACAGGCTTGCACCCATACAATATGTATCAAGGCGGACGTTAACATGAACCAGACTTGCACTCATACAATATGTATCAAGGGCGGACGTTAACACGAACCAGACTTGCACCCATACAATATGTATCAAGGGCGGACGTTAACACGAACCAGACTTGCACCCATACAATATGTATCAAGTGTGGACGTTAACACGAACCAGACTTGCACCCATACAATATGTATCAAGGGCGGACGTTAACTTGAACCAGACTTGCATCCATACAATATGTATCAAGAGCGGATATTAACATGAACCAGACTTGCACCCATACAATATGTATCAAGGGCGGACGTTAACATAAACCAGATGTACAAATACAATATGTATCAAGGTCGGACGTTAACATGAACCAGACTTGCACCCATACAAAATGTATCAAGTGTGGACGTTAACTTGAACCAGACTTGCATCCATACAATATGTATCAAGAGCGGATATTAACATGAACCAGACTTGCACCCATACAATATGTATCAATATGTATCAATATGCTCAAAGGAAGCCTATTATTATCCCGCAAGCGATGCATGTGGTGATTTGCTGTCGGCTAAATGTTTTCGTTTTACACATACATGTAGTTCAACCCCCTTTATCAATTACCATTAGACTGGCCTTCACCATACCCTCTTACCTTTTGTCGGTACAAGAACTATTTCAATTGTCTCTGTGGCATGTATTCGATAACAATAAAATACTTAATTAGAACAAAGGACACAAAGTAATTTCTCCTTAACAGACAACACCTAAAAGCTGGGCCATATCTATATTAGGACATGCGGAGATCGTGACGGGAGATTAATGCAAAAGTTCAAACGCTGGAGAAAAAGTAAAATTGAAAAAAGTACAGTTGATGTAGAAATTAAACATCTGGTTAATTAATCTGATTTGGAAAGGTGCGCCGCATCCCCATGCATGCACAGAACATGCTGTTACACCTCTATAAAAGAGAACGTGCAGAAGGTAACTTTACGTTTTCTGAGGTTTGCATTCATCAGAACCATCAAATATGCATTTTCTTAAAGTCGCAGTGCTCCTTGTAGCAGGTGAGCATACCTCGTTGGTACCTAAATGTAAATCTACACTAGTCACGCTGTATAATCGCCTGGCTGAAAGTTCAGATCATTTGTGAGAAAAGTCATTTGACAGTCACTGTCAATCTATATAGGAAACCTAAATATGATATGCCATCTACTCCAACTGTCAACATTTTATTAACGCGATGTGACTGTGTTTACGTCTTAATAATTGCTTTTAACTAGCCTGAACTGTACACATTATCAGCGTCGCAAATAATGTATTGTGTTTTCTCTTTCTGACAGTTCTTGCTGCAGTGTTCGGAACCAGCATGGCCGAGGGTCATGGTGGTGGTCATGGTCATGGTCATGGAGGTGGTCATGGAGGTGGAAAGGGTCATGGCGGCAAAGGTCATGGTGGTGGCCATGGGGGCAAGGGACACGGAGGCCATGGTGGCGGACACGGGGGCAAAGGACATGGAGGCGGCCATGGGGGAAAGGGGCACCATGGATAAACATAGCAGCTGGTAAGTAGACGGTTAGATCTCACAATGGTTGTGTTGCAAACGTTCTTAACTGTGTTTTCCAAAGAACAATTAACGCCTGACGGGATGTACTCTTTCCTCGGGAATACTCGTTTCTGTAAACATAAAGTATATATCTCGGAGGCAATGTCCTCTGCAAATTTCAGTAGAAATGACATGCCTGATAACTTTGGCCTATTCTTCATTTCAGAAAGATGTGTGACGAGAAAGCCCTTGTTTTTTATTCCACTGCTGCTGGACAACGGGGAAACAACAACTCATGTAAAACATGATGATCTTGTATTTTGTTTGACCAGACCTCTGAATAAAAATACACTCCAAAGTGTTAAATCTGATTACACATTATCTTCTCTTTTATTGTGTCCAGGGATCACTGGGCTAAAGTGAGAATGCTCTGGTCGCCAATACATTTACCTCTTACCAAATTGGTATGAGGAATGATTCATATGCACACTGGTTTATCATGGACTCTCTCTCTCTCTCTCTCTCTCTCTCTCTCTCTCTCTCTCTCTCTCTCTCTCTCTCTCTCTCTCTCTCTGTCTCACAAACACTAACAGACAAATAAGCCTACTGACACATTTGCTATCTTCATAGCGCCTCCCGCGTCCATATGATAAATTCAATGCATATCGACGATGGTGTGCATATTAGGTTAATACCATCAAATGACGACGAATCCTTGCTAAGTTTGTGGGTTGATACAAGATATATATGACTCAGTGGCACATTTGGGAGACCCGACGCACGTACCAGTTGAAAGTAGTTGGGACATGCCATAGAGCAGGCGTTGTGCAGAATTGGACTGATTACTACCTCTATCCTAAGTTGCTTTATAGCTGCAGTTAAACACTACGGCATTTTGGATGACATGAGCCATGGTGTTTCGGGGAGTGGATTTTATAGCATGCACGAAACAAGGATGTGTCGTCTTATCATATCTCAGACCATACTCTCTTGCTGTCAGACTTAAACCTACGTCTGTCACTTTGGCAGTTATGTACATGCACTAAGTATTATTTTATTTGCACAATTGCTTTAGTTCTGTAGTCATTCTAGCATCCATATAGAAGAGAATGAATAATACAAACAGTGGCATAATTGTCAGATCGATGTTTTAATTCTTTGAGGCAATGATGATACACGAATCACAATCAATACAATAGGTTATCGACTACACAGTGGATTCCCAGCATCCAGATTCTCATGTGACTGTGTACTTAGGATATCAATCCCAAACGTCTCGGCAGCTTCATCCGTGGTGACCGTGTCCTCCGTGGCCATGACCTCCGTGACCATGACCTCCGTGACCATGACCATGTCCTCCATGACCGTGACCACCATGTCCATGTCCATGACCTCCATGTCCGTGACCACCATGTCCATGACCACCATGTCCGTGGCCACCATGACCGTGAGCACTAGCCAAACCCAAAACGGCTGCTAGAGCTGGAAAATAAACAAAGACACGCCCATTTATAAAGCATTACACTTTATATAGTAGATGTTGAGGAGGATGTTGCTTGAAACTTGAAGCAACACACTTTCCTGTGAAATTAACACTTTTACGCTGTTGGAATATAGGATTTGGAGTTACAATACTGTCATATCACACACAAACAACTCCATTTTAAAGATTGCATGGGACATGTTACTCTCCAGAGTTTTATTTCGGACAGCTAATACCATTTAAACTGACATAGCATGACAACAGAATGATAATACTCACCAAGGCCAAGAAGTGCGGCGAAGTTAGAGAACTGCATATTGTATCGTAATGTCCTTCTTTGGTAAGCGAAAGGAAAAAACTGATGGCTGCCAGTTTTTTACGAACTTATATACCTCGCGATCGCGGAAATGGTAGAAAAATTATATCATAGTGATATTATTGCATAAACTGCTTTGTAACTCTTGTGGTGATGTCACAGTGGTTTTAGCTACACACCAAGCACACCGCAGAGCTCCAAGGAAGCCTATTATTATCCCGCAAGCGATGCATATGGTGATTTGCTGTCGGCTAAATGTTTTCGTTTTACACATACATGTAGTTCAACCCCCTTTATCAATTACCATTAGACTGGCCTTCACAATACCCTCTTACCTTTTGTCGGTACAAGAACTATTTCAATTGTCTCTGTGGCATGTATTCGATAACAATAAAATACTTAATTAGAACAAAGGACACAAAGTAATTTCTCCTTAACAGACAACACCTAAAAGCTGGGCCATATCTATATTAGGACATGCGGAGATCGTGGCGGGAGATTAATGCAAAAGTTCAAACGCTGGAGAAAAAGTAAAATTGAAAAAAGTGCAGTTGATGTAGAAATTAAACATCTGGTTAATTAATCTGATTTGGAAAGGTGCGCCGCATCCCCATGCATGCACAGAACATGCTGTTACACCTCTATAAAAGAGAACGTGCAGAAGGTAACTTTACGTTTTCTGAGGTTTGCATTCATCAGAACCATCAAATATGCATTTTCTTAAAGTCGCAGTGCTCCTTGTAGCAGGTGAGCATACCTCGTTGGTTCCTTAATGTAAATCTACACTAGTCACGCTGTATAATCGCCTGGCTGAAAGTTCAGATCATTTGTGAGAAAAGTTACTTGACAGTCACTGTCAATCTATATAGGAAACCTAAATATGATATGCCATCTACTCCAACTGTCAACATTTTATTAACGCGATGTGACTGTGTTTACGTCTTAATAATTGCTTTTAACTAGCCTGAACAGTACACATTATCAGCGTCGCAAATAATGTATTGTGTTTTCTCTTTCTGACAGTTCTTGCTGCAGTGTTCGGAACCAGCATGGCCAAGGGTCATGGTGGTGGTCATGGTCATGGTCATGGAGGTGGTCATGGAGGTGGAAAGGGTCATGGCGGCAAAGGTCATGGTGGTGGCCATGGGGGCAAGGGACACGGAGGCCATGGTGGCGGACACGGGGGCAAAGGACATGGAGGCGGCCATGGAGGAAAGGGGCACCATGGATAAACATAGCAGCTGGTAGGTAGACGGTTAGATCTCACAATGGTTGTGTTGCAAACGTTCTTTACTGTGTTTTCCAAAGAACAATTAACGCCTGACGGGATGAACTCTTTCCTCGGGAATACTCGTTTCTGTAAACATAAAGTATATATCTCGGAGGCAATGTCCTCTGCAAATTTCAGTAGAAATGACATGCCTGATAACTTTGGCCTATTCTTCATTTCAGAAAGATGTGTGACGAGAAAGCCCTTGTTTTTTATTCCACTGCTGCTGGACAACGGGGAAACAACAACTCATGTAAAACATGATGATCTTGTATTTTGTTTGACCAGACCTCTGAATAAAAATACACTCCAAAGTGTTAAATCTGATTACACATTATCTTCTCTTTTATTGAGTACGGGGATCACTGGGCTAAAGTGAGAATGCTCTGGCCGCCAATACATTTACCTCTTACCAAATTGGTATGATGAATGATTCATATGCACACTGGTTTATCATGGACTTCATGATAAATTCAATGCATATCGACAATGGTGTGCATATTAGGTTAATACCATCAAATGACGACGAATCCTTGCTAAGTATGTGGGGTGATACAAGATATATATGACTCAGTGGCACATTTGGGAGACCCGACGCACGTACCAGTTGAAAGTAGTTGGGACATGCCATAGAGCAGGCGTTGTGCAGAATTGGACTGATTACTACCTCTATCCTAAGTTGCTTTATAGCTGCAGTTAAACACTACGGCATTTTGGATGACATGAGCCATGGTGTTTCTGGGAGTGGATTTTATAGCATGCACGAAACAAGGATGTGTCGTCTTATCATATCTCAGACCATACTCTCTTGCTGTCAGACTTAAACCTACGTCTGTCACTTGGGCTGTTATGTACATGCACTAAGTATTATTTTATTTGCACAATTGCTTTAGTTCTGTAGTCATTCTAGCATCCATATAGAAGAGAATGAATAATACAAACAGTAGCATAATTGTCAGATCGATGTTTTAATTCTTTGAGGCAATGATGATACACGAATCACAATCAATACAATAGGTTATCGACTACACAGTGGATTCCCAGCATCCAGATTCTCATGTGACTGTGTACTTAGGATATCAATCCCAAACGTCTCGGCAGCTTCATCCGTGGTGACCGTGTCCTCCGTGGCCATGACCTCCGTGACCATGACCTCCGTGACCATGACCATGTCCTCCATGACCGTGACCACCATGTCCATGTCCATGACCTCCATGTCCGTGACCACCATGTCCATGACCACCATGTCCGTGGCCACCATGACCGTGAGCACTAGCCAAACCCAAAACGGCTGCCAGAGCTGGAAAATAAACAAAGACACGCCCATGTATAAAGCATTACACTTTATATAGTAGATGTTGAGGAGGATGTTGCTTGAAACTTGAAGCAACACACTTTCCTGTGAAATTAACACTTTTACGCTGTTGGAATATAGGATTTGGAGTTACAATACTGTCATATCACACACAAACAACTCCATTTTAAAGATTGCATGGGACATGTTACTTTCCAGCGTTTTATTTCGGACAGCTAATACCATTTAAACTGATATAGCATGACAACAGAATGATAATACTCACCAAGGCCAAGAAGTGCGGCGAAGTTAGAGAACTGCATATTGTATCGTAATGTCCTTCTTTGATAAGCGATAGGAAAAAACTGATGGCTGCCAGTTTTTTACGAACTTATATACCTCGCGATCGCGGAAATGGTAGAAAAATTATATCATAATGATATTATTGCATAAACTGCTTTGTAACGCTTGTGGTGATGTCACAGTGGTTTTAGCTGCACACCAAGCACACCGCAGAGCTCCAAGGAAGCCTATTAATATCCCGCAAGCGATGCATGTGGTGATTTGCTGTCGGCTAAATGTTTTCGTTTTACACATACATGTAGTTCAACCCCCTTTATCAATTACCATTAGACTGGCCTTCACCATACCCTCTTACCTTTTGTCGGTACAAGAACTATTTCAATTGTCTCTGTGGCATGTATTCGATAACAATAACAAACTTAATTTGAACAAAGGACACAAAGTAATTTCTCCTTAACAGACAACACCTAAAGCTGGACCATATCTATATTAGGACATGCGGAGATCGTGGCGGGAGATTAATGCAAAAGTTCAAACGCTTGAGAAAAAGTAAAATTGAAAAAAGTGCAGTTGATGTAGAAATTAAACATCTGGTTAATTAATCTGATTTGGAAAGGTGCGCCGCATCCCCATGCATGCACAGAACATACTGTTACACCTCTATAAAAGAGAACGTGCAGAAGGTAACTTTACGTTTTCTGAGGT